GGATTTTTTTTTTTTTAAATTTCAATGCACAATGTCTCAGTGTGTTACCCAAGACATAACAATTGAACTCAAGGCCGTTGCTTCCCTCTAATTTGAACAATCAAGAGAAATAGATGTTTCCCAAAAACCTTACTTTGCCCTCAAAAAATGGAATTATGGAATAATAGAAAAATATTAGTTGTACAAAGAATTGTAGTTAGGAGAAAAGTTAATAATTCTTGAAACTACTTTGGTATTTATAGGCTACACAATTATTTCATAAATATAAGTTACATTTGCAAGTATAATGATAGGGTATTTCACTACTTTACAAATTTTAAAACTTTATTACCCTATTTCTGCAACTGCACAGCTCGTTTCTTGAGTATAAAGATAATAGGTGTCGATCCTACAAGGACTTAGAATTTGACAATCACTTGAGTCTAATTGCTTGTTTTATTATCTAAACAATCAAATTTTAAAGAAGTAAAAGCTAAGAAAGTTAGTTAGGCAGGAAAACCGGCCATGAAATAGGTTAGTTTAGGCAGTAGAACCAGCTATAAAAGTTAGAAGTTAGCTTAGGCAGTACAACAGATCATATAACATAAGGAATAAATGTAAAACCGGCCATTAGGTGGTAAAACCAACCATCTAGGTGGAATGTTGCAAGAAAGTAAATAAAAATAAAAACAAGTTAGATTATAATTGTTTAAAGATGAAGTAAGCGGACCCTAAGGATTGGAATCTCTTGTTATATCAAGATTAGAAGTTAGTTAAGGTGATTGTACTTTATGCTTTCATAATTTGTCAAGAAATAACTTCCAATTGTATGTCCTTGCTTTCGCCAATGGAAATTTTAATAGAAATTGCTTTGACTAGTTTCTCTAGTAATTTCTTTCACCAATTCCCTTAATTTCTTCAATCATCCTTCACTTAAGTTCATAGAGAAAAAGTAAGAAACAACTTAAATAAGTTCAATGAAATTATTATATGAATTTAACCAAACATTATTCACTACTTTTGTGAGAATAAAGCTAGTGTTTAAGAATTTAGATCTATTGAAGGCAACTTTCATTACTCAACAAGTGTCAAATCATTCATAGTTGATGGCCAAACAACTATAAAGTATAAGCACAAGTTCTCAAACTAACAAATTATGAAAAAAGCATAATCATCCCCTAATTATTTCAAATCAAAACTATAACAAGTTCATCTTCACCCTAAGATATGAAAAAACTTAGCTAGATATCATATTAAGAACATCTAAGCTTGAAACGAACTTGTAACAAAGTATGGCAAATAAGAAGAAGAGACAAGGTTTAAGAAGAAGAATTCTTATTCAATATCTTGAACTTTGAATACTTAAATTCCTTCACAAGTTGATCTCTCAAATAAGTTTGATACAAGTGTGTTTGCACCTCTCTCTCAAAGCTTTTTAAACAAAACAAAAAAAAAAGAAACTCTCAATATGAAACTAGAGCTAACTACTTCTATCTCTTCTTCTACTCTACTCTATAAGGTACTATCTCTTGCTAAAATGATGCTCATATGAATGAGATATGAGGAGCATTTATAGATCTTTTTGGTTGAGAAGATATGCACATAATGTAGTCACAAATTTGTTTTTACTTCTCCAACTCAAATTTGGCTGGTTCGAGTCAGAATTTTTGCAAACAAATTGGTCAAAAATGTTGTGTGAACTGAATGCAAGTTGCAGAGCAAATTGCAGCTGTGATTCAGGGATCTGCAAGGTGGATCCATGACCTACATTTGGCGGATTTGCCTCATGAATCTTCTTTTGCTCAGTTTTGTACTTTCAGTTAAAAACTAAACTTTGTTTTGTTTTTGGTCCAATTTCAACTGCAATTTTCTTGATGAGGCCAAATTAGCTCTTTCTCAAAACATGAAAGTTATAACTCTATGAGTTAAATTTCTAATGCACTAAGAATCATCTCATTTGGATCTCTGTAAGCGGAGAAATGATCAAAATACCCTTGACTGGTAAATGTACTATTTCAGCTTTTGACATAAATTTTGCCGACTGTATTTTGACTTTTGACCAGGAAACTCAAAGAACTGGATTTCGATATCTGCACATGAATTGTAGAGCTATGTCTTAGTTTCAAAATAATTTAAGAATCGTCTCAATCCGATACTTGTAGCCCAAAATACCAAAGTGTGTCAAAGGTGTGAAACTCCTTTTGACTTTTTTTTTGGCCACAAAATGTGCTTTTTTTTTATTAAGAAGACCAAATTACACTGATGTAGCGAAAAGTAGAACCCAGGGTTCTACTCTCTCACAATTTGTGTTCGAACAAAAGGAATTTCCCTACTATCTAGAAGTATAGTAGCTTTAACATCCCTCGGAAGCTGCTGGAAGACCAAACTTTTTTTGACTTGAATCTCTTCCTATGATATCAAAACCTACAAAACAACACAATTTTGCATATCATCCCACACTTTGCATGTTTTGGTTAAGAAATACTACTTGTATAAAAAGTAACTTATAAAGGAATTCAATTCTTCCATTTTAACCTAAAACAAACCAAAATCATAATTTAAAACCTAACTAAAAATAGGTAAAATAATGGCTAATCAAACTCCCCACACTTGAACTATTGCTTGTTTTCAAGCAATTAAGAACTACTGACCATCACAATAGTTCAAATATATTCCTTTGTGCTCATGTATCTTTCAAATTCAATTCCTCAATAACAAGATAAACCTCCATTATACAACCATTCATTCGACCACAAATACTCATATTACCAAGTAAAGGAGCGATAATTATATCAAGAATTAAGACTTATCAACTCATTTCCTCTTCTCAATTCAATTTCACTCTTAACAACTCATGGTCAAGTCAAAGCATACGAATTCCATGATAATCTTTATTATTTAAAAAGAGAGATTTATTTAATCCATAACAAATAGTTTCCTCAAGTAGTGAAAATATCTTTTGACGTGAAAATCGATATTGGTAGATAAACACCCACAGTTACATAATTTCATCACTAACTAGAATTGCATTGCATACTCATAATTCAAGAGTCATTTTACATGAAAGTCAATATTTATAGATGAATACTCCTGGTTACTAAGATTTAAGAATCATTAGAGTAAATACTTATTTAATAATTTTTTTCTTTTTTTTCTCACTTTTGCTTTCTTTTTTTAAGAGCTTCCATAATATAGAATGATCATAGCAAAGTAATGCAATATTGACCATATTCATCATTCAAAATATGAAATTTAATTAAAATAGAAAACTTATCAAGCATGCAAAATTCAAGACATAATTGCTTCCACTTTACAAGATATATATTTTTTGTTTTATGCAAAATTTATTTATTTTTCACACCAGAAACGATTACATCAAAAAGAGCAAGCTACAAGATCCTTCTTTGAAAGCTTGGAAAGCCTAAACTTTCCATCCGTATATCACCGCGAGCCATAGGGGATAGCTCTACAAAGGAATCAAACAACGCATCACTTCCCCGGGTCGCACCCATCTTGGCTAGCCTGTCTGATGGTTTATTTGCCTCTCTAAAGCAATGTGTTATTGACCGAAACAAACTCTGAAACCGCAATAGATCGTCCAACTCCACCTGCAAATGCCAAGGGCATGCATAATCCCCTGATATGATCTGAACCAGAGTTAGGGAGTCCACCTCCAGGTGCAAATTCATGTAGCCCTGCATTACACACCGTTTTACCCTATACACCAAGGCTTGTAACTCAGCGTGTAGGCTAGTAGTGACACCAAAGAAATAGGAAAAGCCAAAGAGAAATCCTCCTTGGGAGTCCCGCAACAGCCCTCCCCCTCCACTCATCCCTGGATTGCCAAGCAAACACCCGTCCGTATTAACCTTATAACCTGCTGACGGGACCACCCACTTTATAGGCCTAATGATCAGCCGTTTTGGCCGACCTTCCAAGTTGGCGTGCAAGCTCCCCAAGAGTCATGGGCCCATGATAGCAAATGAAATTATAAGTGCAACAGATCCCTGATCCGAGACAAGGTTCGGGCTACCACCACTCCCCCATCTGACCACCCCCTTGCATTAAAACACTAGTTCTTGCTTTCCACAATTCCCAGCATATTAGAGAAGGCAAGAGGCGATAGACAAATGCCAAATACCGATTCGGAGCAGGTCGTATCCACCACACGATTGCCATATGGCGAGCCGAGCTGATACGAGAAGACCTTTCTTCCTGAATTTCGAACGCTTTCCATACTTGTCGGGTAGCTTCCCCTGTGCAAAACACATGTTCAATCATTCCTTCTAGGGTCGACGCAGCAGCAGCATCGAGAAGGACCCTGGACTCCAAAGCGTTGTAATTGTTCAAGTAAGGGCAGCCTATCTGAAAGTAGGTGAAACATGAAAAAAGAGATTGTTATTGGCAAGGACCTGTGCCAAATGCAAGCGGCGCCGAGAGACCCATTAGAATGAGAGTGAACAAGCGATAGAACTGAGGCAATTGAGAACTCTCCATTGGGGGTTAACATCCACACCATCCTATCCTCCCTTTGAAGTGGAGACGTGATCGCCTTCACTAGTTGAACCAACTCCGGCTGCAGAGCTTGTGAGAGTAACCGGACATTCCATTCCCCTTCATTAACAAAATCAGCTACCCGCTAGTTCTGGAAGACCTCCACTCGGTGACACAGTGGGCCGGACCCTATCCAGTTATCATGTCAGAAGTCCATTGTCCCTGATCGAACAATCCAACCAATGTTGTCCTCCACTAAACCCTGGACCGCACACATCCGTCTCCAAGTGTACGAACTCCCTATTCTCTCCTTCGGCCCCAGATGCCAAAGGCGTCCTTGGGGTGATCTCGTAGTTCCTACGAGTTGAAGGCGTAGGCATTATCGACGGAGAATGAGAGCCAGGCAAGGGTGCTGACCTCTATAATACTGGGCCGCAAAAAAGCGGCCCAAAAAGAGTGACCCTGTATGAAACTCTACCATAGCTTCATGGAGAATGCTTGAAAAACTTCAGTTGGCCGCCGGAAGCCTAACCCCCTTCGCTATATGACCGACATAGGTCTGCCCATTTCATCCAATGAAACCGCGGGTCAAACTCTGACGCACCCCACAGAAAAGCAGCCATAACTCTGTCCATCTCCGCAAGACTCCCTTGGGAGGCGACACTGTTGCCAATAAGTGAATCGACAGAGAGGATAGAACGTGCTTGAGAAGCACCACTCTTCCCCCTGGTGACAGAATTCGCTGCTTCCAAGATAAAATTCTGTTGACAATGCCTTTGCAAATCTCCCCAAAGTACTCCTTCTTTTATCGACCAATGAATAACAGGCAACCCAAGTATCTGACCAGAAAGTCCCTCCTTTGAAATCCCGTTAAATGCCTGATAATTCTATAGCGGTGCGGGAAGAGCTGGGGATGCACTAGAAAACAACTCTTTTGCTTATTAATCTTCTGACCCAAGACTGCACAATAATCTTCTAGGACCCTCACTAAGAGACGCAAAGAAAACTTCAACCCGCTGGTGAAAATGACTACGTCGTCAGCAAAAGACAAATGTGTGACAATCGAGCAGCCAATGGGAACCTTATACGGGTGAAATTGGCGCTGCTCAACCAAAGCGTTCAAAGCCCTAGAGAGGGCTTCAGCCCCAATGATAAACAAGGCTGGAGATAATGGGTCGCCCTGCCTCAACCCACGCGTGGATGGGAAGAACCCCTGCGGCACCCCATTGATCAGTACCGAGAACCAAACGTTGGAAACCAGCCACCAAACAACATCGATCCATGTCTCAGAAAATCGGAACAGCCGCAACACCTACAAAAGAAAGCACCATGACACCCTATCATAGGCTTTCATAATTGTAGACACCAAATTTTAGGGGTATTTTTGTTTACTATTATTTTTATTTTTTTATGTGAGTTTTTATTTACTTTTAGTCTTTTATCTTTATTTTTAAGTCATTTTAGCATAGAATTTATCGGAAAAGAAAATCATTCACAAAAAATATGCTTTAGTTATTTTAGATTCAATTTCATTGTTATTTAATTAAAAAAAAAAAAAAAAAGGAAAAGGGCAAATCATCAATCAAACACAAAAATATTTTTTTAGGGCATTTTTATTTTGTCTGTTATTCCTGGTCTCCCTCATTTTGTTTGATTTTATTTAAAATGATATTTTCATTTTTATTATATTATTATTATTAAAAAAAAAAGAAAGAAAGAAAAAAAAAAAAACAATTGCAGCTGGCCATTTCTTCTATTTTACTCATTTCCGTTGTTTTTCTTAAGTTTAGCTCATCACTCAAAGATCTCATTCATAAAATCTAAGGGCTCCAAAATTTTGGTAAAAAAACCAACTATCATCCTAGCCTTAGGTGTGAGGGTTTGAGGGTTTAGCTTCCCATATAAAAGGGATAAGAGAAAGCAGCAGACTAAGGGAGAAAAAGGGGCGGCTGAGAGAATCTGGGGAGAATGAGGGAAGCTTAGGACGGCGGAAGGAAGAAAAACTAAAAGAGAAACCGAGAGAAAGAGACTGAGAGTAAGAGGAGGAAAAGCTTCCGGCCCAGAAAGAAGCAAGGAGGGAGGTAGTGCAGAATCTGGAAGGCAGCTACAGCAGCAGGTGAAATGATTCCCAGCTTCGCTTGTCCCGTGCTAAAGCCCATCGCTTCGCCATTCAAGCGCTGTTTTGCTACCAAAAGGAGTGAAGGTAGCCTTTCCCTGTTTTATCCTTTCGTTTCTGCATTATCGAAATTCTCTCATGCTTGTGGGTTGCTTGACAAACGGCCCTAAAGTGACAATCTTGCGCCGAAAGAGTCAGTCTCAATCCCAAACTGAAACCTGGTGATTTGCTTGTCTGCTAGTTTTGTAAAAACCTAATCTTAGGAGGGTTAAGGTTGCGTTTGTGCTGATTTCCTTTCGTTGATCAAGGTTAATGTTTTGTGTTTTGTTTCTTCGTTAGAAAGCTAAGTCATAATGGTTTGCTGTGTCTTAAATGGTTTGCGCTAGCTATAGGTAAGATTGTTAAAGTGTTTAAGTATCAGATAAGTTCCAGAAATTTGCTAAAGTTACATGGTCTTCCTTCGGATTTTTATGTGTTTAAACCTAAAGTTGTATGGTGAAAAGTGGAAAACATGCTTGTGAGCTTGTTACTTTGCTCCAAGTTGTTGTTAGTTGAGCTGTTAGTAGTGTTTGGATAGCAAAGAATTGCAGCAAAAAGAAACTCAAATGTTGCAGACGTTTTTTTGTTAATTGTATGCCCACAGTCTTGTCTTTGTTCTCCTTGCTTGTGATGATTTAATTCTGTCCCCTGTGCCTCAAAGTGTCCTCCTTTGTTGCATGAAACCGTGAACTCCCTGTTAGCTAGAGCGTTTCTTTTATTGCTGTACTACGGTTTTGCTGCTCATGAAGTTAACAGCTATGCTTCTAAAGCTATTACATAACAACCCATTCGCATGATAGCTTTCATTAGCTTTGCATTCGGTGTGTGATTTCGTATGCATGATGGAGTATTTGGAATTATAATTTGGGTAGGAATTTGAGGTTGGGTTTAGGTTTGAAATGTTGATCGACATTTTGAGTGCATGAAAATCTGCTGCAACAGGTCATAAGTTCTGTTGTTGTTGCAGCGATGTTGGTAGAGTTGTTTCTTGTTGGTGACTGAAGTTTTGTTTAGCTAGAATCCTTCTTGGTCTGTTGGTTGTTGGAAGGTGATGCCATTGTGTGCGTTTGCTGCAATTTGTTGCAGCAAAGTACGGTATAATAGCAGGCCATAGCACAACCATTGTTTGTAGATGAGTAAAAACATTAGCTGCTCCAAGTTCGAATCACTTTGCTGCATTTTCTGTCTAGCAGCTATGATTAGTTCGTTTAGGGATAGATGATTGTTTTGGGGTGATGTTAATGGCAATGGGATGAAGTTATAGCATCTGGGGGTTTGATTCAATAGGCTTCGTTTGAGTTACTTCGCATAGGCCTCTTGGTTGAATGATGAAGCTCCATTTAAGAAATTCAGAAAGCTGGTTTTTGCTCTTCTGTCGCTGCATATGTCTTTCATTTGTTTCTTCACTTGATCTTTAATGGTTTGGTGTTCATGATTGGGTTGTGTTAATCAAGGTGTTTAGCTGTTAAGGGGATGTTGAGTGATGGTTTTCTCTGGCTCTTGCTTGAAGTCTTGTATGAAGTCTGCATTTGAAAGCTTAGAATTGCAGAAGAAAGCTTCCTATGCTGCCGAGTATCTTCTGTTGCAGAAAACTTGTTTTCGTGGTTTTTGCATTTTTGCATGCAAAATAGCTTTAAAAAATTGCACTTTACTCCCCTTAGCTTCTATCTATGCTACAAAGGCCTAATTATGCTCCACTTTCTTGCAATTAGGTCCTAGAGTAATTGCAATTTGAATCATTACTTGACTTTTTCATTACTTATGGACCTTTGAAGTTCCCAAAATATTTTAATTGGACTTGATTGATGGGTTAATGTTTGCTATTGGGTCCTTGGTAGTTTTTTCTATTTTAGAAATTCGATCAATAATTTACTTTTTTGGAAATTATGCATTATGTGATTTCATTTAAGTTGCAATTGGGAGGGATTTGGTGATTTTGTTTATACTTTACTATTTAATTGGTGCCTTGACCCTTTTTTTTGTTTTGAAAGCTAATATTTCCTTCATCTCATTCCCATTGCAAGGGAGGTTATGTGATTTCATTTAAGTTGCAATTGGGAGGGATTTGGTGATTTTGTTTATACTTTACTATTTAATTGGTGCCTTGACCCTTTTTTTTGTTTTGAAAGCTAATATTTCCTTCATCTCATTCCCATTGCAAGGGAGGTAACCTCTATCTCCTTGATTTTATTTCTCCTACGTGCTCCTACGTGTTTTGTGTGAATATGCATGCTTTAATTCGCTTTTTATTTTATTAATGTTTAATTGCGTGTTTCGCTTTCTTTTTATTTCGCCTTTTTAATTGGCAAGTCATTTGAGGGCATTTGAACCCCAATTTGTAATAGCTAGGTTTTGGCGCCTCTCTTAAAGACATGTTTTAGCTAGCCAATGTAATAGTTAGGATTTACTTTTCTAAGTCTTCCCCACTTTAGATTGTAGTAGGCATCCCTTTTTGTAATAGTTAGGGCTTGTGTGCTATGTGCTTGTGTGTGCCTATATGCCTATGTGTTTAATTGCTTTCCCTAGGATTCTGCATCTAGACAAGCATGCTTATGTGTTACATGCTATGTGAAACTATGTGTTTTGCATGTCTATTTGCTTTAGTATTATATCTGGTTATGTGGATGGAATGTACGTTACCGTGGCTAGTCCAATGCTAGTCATGGTCTTCTCTTCGAGCTCTTACAAGTCCAATGCTTGTCAGAGAACGTTCGTTCAGGGTCAGTTCAACGCTAAACCCTTAGGAACTATCCGCACGTTATATCATGATTGTGTGATAAAATCACTTCATCTCATGCATATTTTCACTTTTTAGGGTCTTTATCATTTTTTTGCATGATATCCCTCTTATACTTATACCCCTTCCCCCATATTTTCCCTTATATGTATATTATTTATCCCTTTGTATGAAGCATGACATTAGACTTGCATCCCATGTAAGGACTAGAACTAGGCTAGTACATTTGCATGATTAGATTAGGGAAGTTGCCCCTTGGATATGGGATATGGACGATTTTGGCTTCTCTAGTTTTAGCACGCTCGTATTCCCTCTATTAAAGGGAACATTGAAAGTCACAAGTAAAAGTCCCCCGCACCCATTATGATGCATTCCTTTAGATCATACATATTTGCATATTATTATTTTCTTTATTTTTCCTTTTTTTCGAGTCCCACGACTTGCATTATTTCGTGACTTTTTCAAAAAGTCTTTATTGGGCATTACAATTAATGTGATTGGTACCAAGTAAGCTTTGAAGATACATTTCGACCCCTCGATACCCTCCTAGGTCTAGGGTTTGCATTCATATAGAACCTCCAAATGTGATAAATCTTTAGGTTAAAATAAGAAAATCTTTTGACTAAATCGCGCAACTAGCCTTGGCTAGGTTGAAAGGGTGACTTGGATTCTTATCCTTGCCTTCCCTTTCTTCAAATGTGACTCCCGAATCTTTTTCTCTGATTTTCGTAGACTTGGAGTCGTTTAAAAAGGGGTTTTCTACTTTTTTCGTTAAAATTCATTTTTAGGTGATTTGGTACACCTCAACTCAATACCAAGTGGCGACTCCATTTTCCATTCAAAAAACCCTTTTTAAACTATATTTTGGGTCAAATCGTCGCATTTTCAAGTCCCATTTAGACCCATGTTTATTTTATTTTTTTTTATTTTTTTTTCAAAAATTCATTTTCCAATCAAAAATCGAATCAAAAGTCATTTTCCTAAACTCGTCTTTAATTTTTCTTATTTAAAAAATGGGGCGCGACAGCTGGCGACTCCACTGGGGACTTAGAGGGTCCGAGCATTTGATTTAGTCAATCTTTTTCCTTTTCTAACCTCTTTATATATCACATTTGGATGTTTAGAGTTGCATTTTTTTTCTTTTCTAGAATTTTTGCATTTTGCGCGTATCAACTCACTCCCTCACCCTTTGCGTACGATTGATTTTGATGGATGGATGGTTTATTTATGTTTATCCCGCGCTTTGCATTGCATTTGGGTGGGGATACTACCCTAGAGTCTCGCGTTGGTTCTCGACCCCTCCTCTCCAAATGAAGCACTTCATATGTGCATGTATAGTTTTATTTATCCTATTTTTTTTCTCTTTATCGTGGGCGCCATCCCACATCTCCCTATAGGATTAGGATCGATTGCCTTAGGTATGCGGATGGTGTGCACTGCGTCCATAGTGATGCCCAAGGGATCACTCGAGCCACCGACCGAAGGCCCTGGAATTGATGACCCTTCGCCTTTAGGTCTGAAGGCCTGGGAGCCGAAGCCTTATCGAGTCTATATGCATTAGTGAGCCAAACCATGCATCCATATTAGAATTACCTAGGGTAGAGTCGACCTTACCCTAAATTAGAAAACACTATTCACGAGGGGAGGGATCCAACCCCTCTATTCCTTTTATTGCTTTATCTCGTTGTATTGTTTTGCTGCAAATGTGTTATATGTATTTGTCTGATTGAACTAATTTTTTTTGGTTTTTGTCTCCGTTGCATTCATAAGCTTAGAAAATAAGAGTCCTGGTATGGCACTCTTTAGGAGCCTATTCTATTTGATGTGACACGTTTAAATTCAATATTTCGCATTTTAGCATGAATACATGTCATTTTAGGCTCACCTCGGCGTATAAAAAGGGGTTCCTTTAGGCCACGTTTCATTGGTGTACTGCATATTTAGTTGCTTTGATAAACTGGCATCATGCATCCACCTTAGAAGGGAATACCATTTATGGAATCCCGTGTTAGGATTAAGCTAGCCCGTGTCTCGGATACTTAATCCAAGGAGACTTGTACGTTTACATTTTGTACCATCCAAAGGGGTAGTGCACAAGGTAAGGTAGGATCCGATCATTTTCATAGAGCGATCTTTGGAATATGAGCGTCTAATAATCACTTTTTGGCCATTTTATTAAAATTGGTAAAAATCCCTTGCATGAAAGGCATTAATTTGAAGAAATTTATAAATAATTCCTCACTATTGAGACGATAAATAAATTGAGG